GAGCGCCGGGTGCGGGCAGGCTCGGCCTCCCGCACCTCGCCTAGCCGGGCGAATGCGCTGACATGGGCAACACTCTGCCCCAGCCTCTGCTTGGCTGACTTCCTCTGGCCTTCCTCCCTATCCCCCAGCCTTTCGAAGGCGGAGTTTCGGGAGGTCGCTGGCCGGATGTTTTTTCCTTTCTTCTTCTTGTGGGCCCTCGAGATGTCCCACTCGCCGTCATCGCTTTCAATCGAGACGCAATGACCATCAAGGGTGACCTGTGGATCCGTAGCTTGCGGGGGGCGCGACGGTCCTGCAGCGTTAAGTGCACCGGCCAAGTTGACCGGGGCCATGGTGCTGACCAGCTGGGGCTGGAAAGGTGATGGTTGCGGCATCGGCGTCTGGAACGACGTCACCGCCATCGGAGCTTGTAGGGGCATGGTCCCCGCGCCTGGAAGGGCGAATGGGAACATACCAGGGAGGAAAGGCATCCCCCCGCTCTGTTGGCACATGGCCATGACCTGGCCAAAGCCCTGGATGGCTTGTAGGTTGGCTGGGTCATTCATGAACTGAGTCATGCTTGGTGGGAACGTTACCCTCGGTCCAGCGGAAGGGACGGGGGTCACGAAGGGACTGATCACGCTGGCCGTCGGGACAGAGCTCAGTCCCAGAGGCAACACCGGGGCTGAAATGACCGGTACGGTAGCAGCCACAGGGATGCTGGCTCCCTCGTTGGTGGCCTGCACCTGAGCGGAAGTAGCGTTGATTTGTTGGCTGGAAGACATTTCGAGTGGTGTTTTGGTGGGTAGGTTTGTGTTTAGGAGAAGAAACCTTAACAGCCCCACGGTGGGCGCCAAAAATGATGGTGTAAATTACTTGACCGGTCAAACTATACTAGACCGGGTCTAGAATAGTTCGCTTGATTTGGCAAAGTAAGAAAGGTAAAAACACGCAAATTGACCGGTAGGACTTTAGGTGGAACACCTGTAGCCCGATTTATATTATAACGGAGAATGCACGGGTGCTTTTACAAGGGAGTTTAGAGAGAATGAATTCGGATCCCTCTTTCTGAGGTTTACATGAGTATTTATACTAGGCTAAGGGGACAGGACCACGTGCGCCCACGTGGAGGCACGTGTCTCGGATGTTGAGAGGTGATGGGCCTCGTCTCTTAGCTACCTTGTCGCCTTGTGAGGGGGATTATTCCCTTTG